CAGGAGTAACCTTTTAATTAATCTATTTTCTTACTAAAAACTTCCACTGCTTTTATTTTTGACAACTATCTATATGCAGTAATATATTAAACTTCTGCGGCCCTTTGAAAATCCTGATTTAACTGACCCTAGAACAATTAACTCATTCAACAACTACTGATAGCACATGGCTGGCAGGAATACAGGGAATCAAGGTGGGAACAGAAGAACCTGGCACATGCCAGAGCCATGGGGGTGGGGGTAGGGCTGAGGAAGACACTAGGGCCAGGAGGGAGGTCCAGGACGCCCTGGGTGACAGCTAAGCTGAACAGTAAGAGGTGGGGCCTTGAAGATCTGGGCGGGTGCGCCCTGGGCAGAGGGACACAAAGGCCAGTGTGGTTTAAGTGTGGTCAGCAGGGAGTGGGGACGGGCAGAGCAGAAAGCCAAGTGAGGGTAGGGTGCTTTGTGCAGTAGGAAAGAGTCAGAACTCAGCCCACTGAAGTGGGAAGGGGTAGAACAATGAGAACACAACCACTCGGGGTGCAGGGTGGAGACAGGCAGCTGGTGGGAGATGGGGACACTGAGATGGGGGAGGCTGTGATCCTGGCAAGGCGAGAATGGGGTAATGGCAGGGGTTTTGCAAGGCACAGCTGTGCAGCAGCTCTGGAGGGCAGGCCAGCCGGGCATGTCCTCTAGGGAGAGCATGATCAGTCCCAACGGCTGGCCTGTACTTTTCTCCTTGCTTCTCCAGCTGGAAGGAGAAAGCTTCAGAGGTTTGTGCTGTCTCTGGAGCAAAGGTGCTGCACATGGAGACTTTGGGAATGCAAACTCAAAGGTGCTAGGAACTTGGCATTCCAAGAGCTTGCAGCTGGGTAGCTTCCTGCCCCGGCCAGCCCTCGAAGCTCCATCTCATTCACAACACTGCCACCCAGTGGCTTAAGGCCAGACTGCAATAGCAGGGCTCAATCTAGCCTTTTCCTTTCACATAGGTCTTCAAGTGGACAGGGAGCAACTCGTTCTTTGTGAAAGGAGACTGGGATTCACTTATGATGGGCAGCGGCAGGTATGTATCCTGGTCCCTCCCCACTCCTGAAAGGCTGTTGTGCATGGCCAGCCCAGATAGATAGGAGAGGCAGGCGGTTTACTTTCCGGTCCAGCCTTTCAACATCAGGGCCCACCCTGCTCTGAGCCAAGGAGGAGAAAGGATGCAGGAACCTCACGCCCAGCTGCTTACAGCTGGTGACACGTTAGTGAGAATTTCTGTAATCTGGGGAGCATCTATGTGGTTGGATAAGGTTGGAAGCAAGAGATCTGTCAGTCAGCCCAGTAATCCTAGGAGATAGAAATCAAGGGAGGCAAGCAAGCCGCATGTGCCCAAGAACCTGGCCGATGCGCGTGTGTGGGCCTGAGCATGGACCAGAGAAAAAAAAGCTTGGTCTCTAAATTCAGTCATATCCTAGGGGGGAAAAAAGAAATTGAGTCACATTAGTAAGTTTTACCTATAGGGTGAAGATGAGATTTTTTTTTTTTTTTTTGGCTGGCTCAGGCTACCTTAAGGGCGGGTATGGCGTGGCATGTGGAGCTGGGGATCGAACTGCAGACCCCCATGCCTGACTGGGTTTGTCCATACAGGCACTTAAACAACTAAGCTAACTGGCAAGCCCCTTGAGGGTGGAGATTAGAGCACTGATTAACACCAGGAAAACACTTTGCTTTCCCAGTTGCCTGAAGAGCCTCCCCTGGAAGGCAGCTTGGTAAGAATAGGCCAGGTAGTGCTGATCCACAGTGATTTACTCTGGGCTCCAGCCTAGGTTTCCGTCAAAGGGGTTGTTCCAAATGTCCCAAACTAGGCTGTGATGGTTGTACCACTGCATAGATTTGCTAAAATCCCTGCACTGCTTTAGAAATATTCTAAATTCTTTTTTTTGCGGAACGAGGGATTGAACTCAGGCCCTTGTGCTTGCCGGGGAAGCACTTATTCCACTGAGCCATCTCCCCGGCCCCAGAAATATTCTAAATTCTGTAGGGAACAACATGCTAAGTCCTTCAAAAGTCAAGGTAGGGGCTGGGGATATATAGCTCAGTGGCACAAGCTCCTGCCTGGCAAGTTCGATTTTTAGCACTAAAAGAAAAAGCTGGGATAAATCTGCTAAGGGAAAGAACCCCAACGAGGGCTGCCACAAGGTACAGGCAAGGGCTGGCAATGATAGTAGAGCCTACAGCCTGACACACAGGAGTGAGCCAGGCCCAATGTCCTTTTCTCTCTAGTGGCCAGTTTGGGCTGTGGCTGGATGGAGATTTGTACCACGGCAGAAGCCACCCCTGTGCAACCTTCAACAACGAGGTGCTGGCTCGGCAGGAGCAGTTCTACATCAGGGACTTGGAGGCCTGGGTTCTAGGTTGAGGCCCTGCATGGCGGTTTTCTGGGTTGTAGAGCTGTGGCCCTGCCCATGATTGCTGTCCTAGCCTTCTTTATCCAGGACAGCCCTTCTGCTTAGAGTGGATGGCCAAGTGTCCACACGTGGATTGTGGCTGTTGGAAAGGTCCTCGTGGCCTGGGGACACACGGAATGAAGCAGGCACTATTGTCCTACAGAAGAGACTTTGGAGATGTCAAAGACACACCTTACCCAAGCAACAGAGACCCTTGTGGAAATGATCTATAGCAATTCTGTAACTAACACAACATGTTTATTTGCAGAAAAACCCAGAACACATTAAAAATTAAGATTGCCTAAAATTCAGCTCCTCTCAAACAGTAGCATTGGGTATATGCTTCCAATTATCTATAGATGTATATATAGGTATATATATAGATATATGCACAGAAATGGGATACTGATTATAAGTTTTAGAAACCATTTTATTTTTTTTAAGTTGAGAAGTTTTTTTTTTTTTTGGGGGGGGGCTGGCTTAGGCTGCCTTAAGGGTGGGTCTGGATATCGACCCATGGTATTCTTTGCTTGACTGTATTTGCATAAGCAGGTGCTTAAACAACTGAGTTCTGTAGGCCCCCAATAAACCACTTTAAAAATATCACCAAACCTCATGAAACTGCTCAGCCAGTGAAACTAATAAAGACTCTAGCAGCATCTTCCATCTCTTGCTTGTTCTAACATAGCGGGGAGCTCTTCATCTAGTACAATTTCACAGGGAATACATAAAAGCAGCACATGGACAATGTGCATAATTTGGACAATGAAAATGAACTTTTAGATTCAACCTCAAGCAGATTAAAAGAGAAAAAAGGAGTATGCTTCCTGGCCAAGCAAGAGCTCTGAGAAAACTATACATCCCTTCCCACACTGGTGCCTGCCTCCTGCTGGAAGGAACAATGTTCTAATTTGCTCCATTGCTTAAGGAAAACCAGTTACCTGTGACAGTTTTAATCCCATCCCCTGGCAGATCTAGCACAGACAGTGCTGAGATACCAAGAAGGACCTGGGTGGAGTTGACAAAAGACACATTCCTCTGCAAATAAGGGTCCAAGCTGGGCACATGACCGTGCAGGACAAAGTGGTGAAGTAGCACGCGGCTGGCTTCAGGATGGACACAGCCAAATGCCTTTATTGTTCTGTTTTCCACACCCAGTTAAGTCATCAGTCCCTTCAAACTGAAGTTCTATTTGCATTCTTAAGGTGATAATGTTTAGTAACTCTAGAGACTAATATGTTAAAATCTCCATTTTAATACAGTTATAACAATGTTTCTTAAGAAAAATTTATACTTGTACATGACACATGGTTCTGGGAATTAAAACAGTTGCAAACAGCATAAAGTGCAGTTGTCTTACATGCAAAAAAAAAAAAAGATGGGAGTAAAACAGATTCATTTCTCAGATAACACAGTGATATTGTATGAGGGCTACAAAATTCCAGAGTTAAAGTATCACATTCTTGAACTTAAGTCTGGTATAGGAAGTTGAGACTACAGTTGTCTCCCCTGAATGTGTCAGAGGCACCTGGCGAGGCACACACAGGCCAGAGCTTCACTTGTGCGTCAGCGAGCGAACCCACAGGGGCAGCATCATGGGGAGAGACAGGATGGCTCTGCCTATGCTCCCAGGAAAGACAGTCACCCTAATTCTCTACTGAGGGATGCAGAGTGCGGTAACACAGGACGGCAGGCTCCAAATACTTCACTGAGAGTGGACGGAACAGAATCTAGTTACACAGTACAAGGCGACAGACAACATAAGTCATGTGCTGTCACTTTCTTGGGGAGTGACAAGAGAACATTGGTGTGTAAAAAGGGGCTCAAGGCCTCTGTCCCCACTGCCCTGCATCTCCAACACTTTCTGGCCACCACCCCTTTTGACTCCAATTCCAGATCTTATTCTTAGTGAATTTCTACAGCCTAGGGTAGAGGACAGGCTCCCTGGGGACAACTGCCCTGTTCAACCATGGTGGTACCCATTCTGTAGCTGGGAAAATCAAGTTACAAAGGGGAAACTGTGACCCAATGGGTAGTCCTGAACCTCAGCAAAGGTAGTATAGTCCAGTTTGCTTTGAAACCTATAAGATGCATTGAAGCAGCAAGAACAGGCCCAAGGACAGTCCTTGTGATATCCTGAGCCATTCACTAGGCAGACCCGGAAAGCAAGCAAAGGGACAGGGAGTTTATTCTAGGTTGGGCAAGGGTAAGGCCCTTGGGCTGGGTCATGGAGGACTCAGGAGAGAGAAACGCCTAGATCTGCAGCACAGCTGATTCAGAGAGCAGCCTGGTCTGAGGGATCCCTCTGCTCTCCTAAAGAGAGACTTATGTTCTAGTCCCAGCCTGCATTAGGATGTGGCTCAGTCCATTGGTATCCAAGAGGCATAAGGCCCTGGGTTCTATCCCAGCATGCCCCCCGCCCCCTATAGGCCTGAACCCTCAGTTCCTCTCACCAAAGAGTCAGAGCCTAGTCCTTTACTTCCTGTGGGGTGGTGAGCACTTCCTTAGGAGCTAGAACTTGTTTTATTTTTAATCATGACTACTCATGACAGTTCCAGCTTCAAATTCCAACTTGTACCCTTGCCTCATTTCTAATTTAAAGAAAAAAAAAAAAAAACAATCATCGGTCATATGAGATTAGAGTAGATTAAAAAAAGAGTTGTTATTCTAAAAAAACAGACTATGAAAGGAGAAAGGTTAGCAACATTAAAAATAGGCAAAGTAATTGTTTTCATAACATGGGTAGCAAAATTTGCCTCATACTTTTGCTTTTTGAGTAAGAATTACTTACCTTCAGGATGTGTATACATTCAAAATACAAAATAAAAAGCACTAGGAACTAAGTTTGTGGAGCTCTATGATTAAATTCTCCAGCTTGTGTTGGGGAGAGCTTTTTGTAAACAACCAGTTGCAGACATTCACATGGAGTCATCCTCAGATAATGTGGATTGGTCCTTCCGCACCTTGGGGTCCCCCTGAAACAGCTGAACTTTGGCTCTGGATGCTTCTGGGTAGTGAACTGGTTTGTTATTCCACTCTTGTTTTAGAGGTGTTATAAAGGGCGCTACAATATCACCATCCTAGCAGGAAAACAGAAAACAGAGAAAATCCAGTTTCTGTCATTCCACTGCTAAAACTGTCTTGGCACACACACCCTTCGTTGGCACTGGATTGCTCCTCACAGACTTACTCTCAGAAAACTGCAACTTAGACATGCCCTGCGCTTGGGTCAAATTAGAAACTCACTAGTCCTAAGCTAGTAAAGTCTTCATGAAAAAGCCACCAGAGCTCTTTCTAAAGAGCTAGGTTGGGGCTGTAGCTCAGTGGTGGAGTTCTTACCTAGCAGGCAGAAGGCCCAGGGTTCCACTCCCAACCCTGAGTTGGGGTGGAGATAGCAGAGCCAGAAGCAGCGCCCCACCGCTCAGGCCACTGCTCAGGCCACTGCACCACTTTGCAGACTCCTTTCTGTCTTTCCAGGAGAAAAGGAACCTGCACTGGGCCCTTGATTCTTGCTTCCCTGGTCCCCTCTGAAAGAAAAATGCCCAGGTCAGGAGATAGTAAAAAGGGAATGAGAATATGTACTGGCTAAAGGTTATTTTTTCTCTGCAATTAAAGCTCTAACTTTTACCCCTTTACAAATACTCCAGCCAATGAGCTCATCTACCCAAATGAAGGCTGGCTTCAAACTGAAGGGATACTACTGACCTAGGGCAGACAGCATAAGCAGGCAGGCCCTCCAAAGCCTGTCTCTGTTTTTAACCACTTTAGAATTTGTAGTTAGAGAGTCTCTGTGGTCATATGAAGGCTCTTTGGGAACTTTTATTACACTAGGAACAGAATGTCATGGGACAGGCCTGGGAGACAGCTTGGCAATCTAAGCACCTGTCTGGCAAGTGCAAATACCCAGGTTCGTTCGATCCCCAGTACTGCATACCATTCTGACCCCAAAACCCTGGGTGTGTGGTGCTGGCCACTGAAACTAGGTGTGGTGGCACATGCCTGTAATTCCAGTACTGAGGAGGCTGAGAGACAGGAGGATCATTATGAGTTTGAGCTGCGTAGTGAGACCTTGTACCAAATAAATAAAGGAAAAAAGAAAAAGACAAAGACAAAGAAAAAAGAATGTGGTGGGACACTGAGCTCTTTTGCTGACTGGCCACCAGACCAGCAATACAGAGAAATTATTATTTAAATTGTAGCTATGGGGCTAGTGATGTAGCTCATTGTAGAGTGCCCTGCACAAGGCACTGGGTTCAGTCCTGAGCACCAGTTCCCAGGTTGAGCAGCTCCTCCCTCTTCACATGGCTTCCCCACAGCTTGTAGCCCTCAGATCTCTTGGAGCAAATCTGTACCATGCCGTGGCACTTGCTGTAGTACTGACCTACTGAGCTCTCTTTCCCTTTGTTTCCCTTAGCATCTGATGTTCAGGGGAAACAGGTAACTGGTTTGGATGTAGAATGCTATAGCCACTTGCTTGTCCATTACATTCACTCAGTCAGTCAGCCAATTTTTTTGTGAGACAGGGTCTTGCTATATAGTACAAACTGGCTTTGAACTATGTAGCCCAGGCTGGCTCAAACTCAGGGTGATCCTTCTGCTTCAGCCTCCCAAGGCTGGGATGACAGGTGTGTGCCATCACATCTGCCAATCAACCAATATTTAGTGGGTATTTTCTCTATGCTAGACACCTATGCCAGTTATGCCATTATCAATAGAGACAATTTAAAAAAACATTCTCCACAGGATTATCAACTGGAGATTGTCTCCTCTGTCTCTTTATTTTCATTCTAGAGAATTTAGTTTACTGACATCAAAATAGCCAGTCAACACTGAACTTGAAATAGTTTAAAAACATATTATTGAGGGCCAGGAATATAGCTCCGCAGCTCAGC